CGCGGCCGCCGCCGCCGCCGCTGCCGCCACCGCCGCCACCGGGCCCGCCGGCGCCGTCTCCGGCTCCTGCAACACACACAGTTCATTTTCAATCATTTATGGCTTTCACATACTCCAGTTTTACACTCTCTCGTATATATGTTATGTATCTAACGAACTCGTGTCCCGCCACAGTGTATGCACCCAACATGCCCATATCCAATAAATTTCCACGCATATCCATATAATGTTGCTGATATAGATGCCCATACCCAATAAATTTCCATGCATATCTATATAATATTGCTATAATGATATGCCTATACAATAAATTTAACTGTCGTGTTTTCACTTTCTCGCTACAGCTTACACAGGAGAGAAAAAGTTCTGTAATGCTGCGCGAAAAAAACTACGAATCTTCGGCATAAAAACTCTTTTTCGAAAATGTGAGTATTTTTTGCGAAATTGTTCATGAAAGTGCGAGCAAGAAAGTATGTGCTCTTTCACCACCACTATTTTTAATTCATTTATGGCTTGCTTTATGGATTTTACATACTCTAGCATGTAAATACAATAGCATCACTATTTTTAGTTCATTTATGGATTGCTTCAGTTTTACATCGTCCAGTTTTACACTCTCTGGTATATTTGTTTGGCTTGCTGTCACGTATCTAATGAACTCGTGTCCCGCACACAGTGTATGCACTGGTAGATGCACGCCAACATTGTTATCTCTCATAAATTCAGCTGCAGCTGTTTTCACTTACGCAACGTCGCTGTTCGTTCACCTCTCTCTTGAAGTAATTTTCGATTTAAAAAACTCAATTTCAACATAAAGAAAACATATTGTTCGCGAATTCGGGTTACGAGAATCAATCAGTGAGCTATTAGCTGTTCCGCTTCCTTGGACATCTTGTTCCGTATTCTAGAACCAGCGATTAATGTTCTTAAATACCGTACTCAAGGTTTCGCCAATCTTCTAATTTCTTGAAGGCGCTTACAATTTGAGACTTTAAACTAGAAACTCACTTAAAAGATCTCGTTCTTTCTTCAACTATCAATTTCTTACGAACTCGAGCCAGTCTCTCTCAAGTAAACTTACGTCCGTAACAACCGAAGCTACATACCTCAATTGTCACTTTCTTATGAGTTAATACAACTTGGGACAAACTTATATTATCATTTTGTAAAACTAACACTTAACTTCATCTATACTTATTCTATACAAATACTTATTTTAACATAATTTAACTTTTGAATCGCTAGTGAGTAGCTACTGTTAACATGTTACTGGAAAATATTTTTAGGATAGAGTAGAAAGAATATCAGTTCTTAATTAAGGACAGGTTGGACGGACATCCAATTATAATATTTGTTGAGATTAGATAGTATTGTTTTAATTAATCTATTGTATTTATGTTTGTGTAGAAATTATTGCAGGGTTGAGTTATTTAACAGAGAATTAGGGTCATTTTGGGTTCTCTGTGGAGTTGTTGGTTTGAAATAAACCAGAAAGTGTTCTTAATGAGTTTGCGGAACTTGGGCCATTTGTAATTTATTATGTTGAATGGATACGGCAAAAGTGCCTCGAACCCCTAACACCGAGGGTACCCATCAGTGGCGGCCACTCCTTAAGGCTGTAGAGCAGCGCCCTCTCCAGAACCAACCTCGGGAAAATTGGCAGAAAGAATTAAACTTGTAAAGTATTAAATTGTAATTTGTGCATACCACCGGCGCAATTTAGTTTTGTGTGTCCGCTCAAGAAAAAAATAAATGTATTTAGAATACGTTGCTCGGCAAGGACAGCGCCTATTAACTAAACTAAAAATACCGAACCTTTAATCCGATTTCATAAATTACTGTTGTTGGTTCTTTTTTTCTGAAAATACGTTTTTTTATCTCCTATTTGAGAGCATGAGCAAAACTATCTTCCATTATCGACGTAAAAATTGTCTCAGGTAAGTTATAACATCCCGATTCCTGCAATTCTATGGTACACTACGTTTTACTGTTTTCCTCGTTCAATTAATATATCCAAGATGTAACATGTATGTGACAGTTCGGACATACAGAATCCTACCTCAATTCGGCAACCCACCGGCCGGCACTGGAATTATGGGCGCACGTTTTCTTGAGCCCCCGAGAGTTGTAAGAGGAGTGAGGAGTTTGGTCATTTTGACAAAAGGAATTTTATATGAAATTTGATATTTGATTTTTGATGCAAAATAGTTTCGATTACACGGTAGCGAACATTCCTGGTTATCAGATTCTGTCTACAACGCTCTTCATTGATGCAATTTATTCTGAATTCAACTAATGTTGGCAAAGGAGAAGGGATGGGTATTCAAGAAAACGTGCGCGTATAATAGCCACATGGGAGCCCGCCCCAAATCGCCCGCCGCCGGGTCCAGCGCCGGCCGCCCCGCCCCG